TCCACGGGCCAAGGTGGGTGGTAGTGACCCACCATCCAAGCAGCAGACCGAGAGCTCCCCCCATGGACCTCCTGTCACCCCGCTGGTCCCCCCACGGCACACAAGACCAGAGCCATTCCCTCTGTCCTTCTGCACCCGATGGAGGACGCCTCCCTGGTAACCCTCTAGCTTTTGTGTGTTTCCGGAAAGTCACACGTGCTCGGGGGGCTCCTATTCTTCAAGGAGCCTGAGGCGGGCACACCATTCAGCCGGTGGTCAGGTGTCCTCCCCAGAGGCCCCGCTCCCCGTCCCTGTGGGAGGCGTGGGCCCCGTTCTGGAGCCGCCATGCAGGGAGACTTACTGTCCAGCTCGTACTGTGTGAGGCTGGGCCGGCTCAGGTTCCGCATGGAGTACATGGCTACGGGGTGGGAGGCGGAGGGGGCCAGAAGGAGACAGCAGACAGAGGAGGTTAGTACACACAGCCCGCTCCACAGAGAGCCCGATTAGAGGGGCGGGATGGGGAGGGGGCCAGGCAGCACACGTGCACAGAGACCAGGGGTCTCTGGGTTCCTGACGGTGGGTTAGGGGCCCCAGACAGGTGTGAGAGAGGGTGTGCACGAGGCCAGGGGACACGGGACACCGCGAGCCCCTTGGAGCCCAGCACCCCTCGGGGCAGCTCTGGGGGACCCTCCAACCCAACTCGCTCCCTTGTGTAAGGCGGGACTGCAGGACCACCGTGAGAGAGCGGTGTTGTTAGTTTCCTCCTATGAACCAGAAACCATTTTACGACCAGGAAATATGACTGTATCATCCTCAGGCATATAAAAATCACAACCACAAGCACATGTCTGCAAAAACGTTAAGAAAACAGCGCCAGCCGTTGGATCAGCTACTTCCGAGTTTTTCTAATGATATTCCTTTGCTACACGTTCATTTTGTTGTCTGCTAACACTTGCTAGAAGACAAGGCACAAAAGGTTTAAGAGAATAATGGGAGAACACCTTACATGCTCCATTCCTCACCCACCTGCCTGGGGACCCAAATCCCGCCTCCCCCAACCCCCACCCCCCCAGACTCGTCTCTCTCCTGCCCGCTCCCCTGCCCCGCCGTGAGCCGGTCACAGAGCTGCCCATGGCACATTATCTCCCATCCTTGCCCTCAATGCCATCCCGAGCCGGCCGCCTCGGCCGCAGACTCCTGCCTTCCCTCTGTGATTACATTAGCCTTTAACCGGCAACCCTGCTTCTGGTCCTCCATGGCCAGCCATCGCCCTCCTGGCACCAAAGTCACCTTCCTAACCCAAAGGGCAAGAGTTCCCAGGCTTGTGAGTCTCCCTGGGATTCACACCAGGCTCCTGGCCCTTTCCTTTCCCGCCGCCAGAGGCAGGCTGGATGCTGAGGACCCCAGGACAGAAGAGTGACCTCCCCGAGGCAACAGAGGGGGCCACACTGCTGCTTCTTGGGGTGAGCGCTGGTTCCCCTGGAATACGTGCTCCCAGGCTGTCTTGCCGACCATCTAAGACATTTATTGCCGAGTCTATTTCTTGAGCACCAGCTCTGCAAACTCGGAGAGGGCAGGGACCTCTATCTTGTTCACTGATGTGTGCCCCCAGGGTCTGAGGGCATGCAGAAGGTGCTTAACAAATCCCCCGTGAGGAAAGGGACGATGGTGGGGTGGGAGGAGAGGCACACACAGGAGAGGGCGGCAGGGTTTGGGTCACAGTTGAGTCCAGGAAGCTGCGAGCTTCAGCAGGGAGGGGAGTGTGCCCGCCCGTGTGTCCCCTGACCCCTGTGGATGCCACTCACAGGTAAGTTCCGCCCACTTGGCCCCTGGGTTGTTGATGCCCCGAAGTGTGAAGCCCCTCAGCCCCTCGTAGAGCAGCTCCCGGTACCGGATCCGGAAGCCCAGCAGGATGCCGTTGATCTTGTCCTCTGCTGGTGGCTGCAAGGAAGGGGGTGCGGAATGGGGGTGGGGTGGGGGCAAGGAACTCCACTCTGCTCCTCCCTCCCTCCCCATCCTGCCCCTTGTGACCACAGAGCAGAGACGGAGTCTCCACCAGGGAAAGGATCACAAGGACACCGAGCATTTTTAATTTACAAAGCAGTGAGGTGGTTTCATCTCTGCGATACTCCCTGTGACACTGGCAGGGAAGGACTGGGGTCGCCAAGCCATTCCCATTCTCGGAGCAGGAAGGCGAGGCTCAGAGAGGGTAAGGAACTCGTCCAAGGTCACACAGCATCGTTGGGCTCTTTCACAGACTGTTCCTTGCCTAGGGTCACCCTCACATAGCACCAGCCTGCCTAGCCGGGTGGCCCCTCCACGTGCCACCTGACCAGCGTTTCCTGGGAGTCGTCTCCCTGTTCTTGTACATGAATAAGCGTTAGAGCTCCCGCGTGCGCCCCTGCTCCTCCTTTTATCATTTTTCTCCTTTGCTTTCCGCTCCCATCCACAGCTGAGCTGGAGAACAGGCTCCAGGAGAAGGTGGAAGCTACTTTTTATGATACCTCTTTTTAAAAGCCTGCTGAAATGGTTCAGCTTTTTATTAGCTCCTTAATTGCCTCCCTGGCTGCTGCTGGCACCTCCCTGCCCCCTCCACCAGGAAGGCCCGGATCTCTGCCAGCCTTGTCCTGGCTTCCAGCTGCACAAGGTCATTTTTCACTTAAGGGAGCGTCCTCTTCCAGGGAGGCCTCGGGCTGGGGAGCGGTTGGGGCCCCTTCTTGTTTCTTCAAGGGGCTTCCCATGGCGGGGACTGCAGGTGGACAGAAGTTGGGGCCTGCCCCGTCTGATCCCCCAAAGCAGAGACGGGGGTTTGCTGCTTTGGGGCCTCTGTGGGTAAGCTGCCGAGTCTAGAGCCTGGACTCTGGAGCATACGGGGGGTCCTGCGGGCACATACGGCCAGCCTGGTCTCTAAGCTGTATCCTGTGGTCTTCCTCCGGCCATGGCAGGACAACAGTGCCCGCCAGGGAGCGGGAAACTGGGGGGGGGGGAGGAGTGGAGGAAGAGGGTTCTATGTACCTGGACAATGGGTTCCTGTTCACTGCGACAGGAGAGTGGTCCTGGGGTTCAGGAGAGGGGTTCAGGCTGGGCATGCACACCTGTGTTTAGCTTCTCAATCGGGAATCCCTTCACGGACAGTGACCGCATTTCATGGAGACTCTGGGGGCCCTGAAGCCCCATGCACTTTTCTATTCCAGGACTGGCAGACCTAAGGGCACTAAACCTGACCCTGCCACTGACTAGCTGTGTGACCGGGGGCCATTGGTGTCGCTTCCCTGAGAACTGGGTCCTCATCTGCAGAAGGGGATTGAAGGAGCATCCACCCGAGACGATTATCTGGAGAGGTGGGATGAGTGGCAGGCACATCTGTGCACCATACCTGCCATCGGATCAGCACGGAGGTGGTGGTGTGGGGTGTCACCGAGACAATGGTGGGAGCCTCATCGGGGGCTGGGGAGAGAGACAGACAAGTGAGCTCTGGGGGCTGGAGGTTTAGGTCCCCCGGGAGGCCACAGGGACCAGATTCTTCTGCGCGTGTGGACGGAGAGGGGCTGGAGCCCTGACCCCAGTCTGAACCCAAGAGCCCAGAGGCCCCTCCTCTTTGTCCCTGGAGCCACAGGCTCCTTACACGGTTGTCGCTGAGGCCTCCCCCAAACCCCCTCCTTCACTGGGTTTCCGGGGTCGGCCATGAGCTTGGGGACATCCGAGAAGGAAAACGTTAGGATGCCGGTTGGCATGGGTGCCTGAGCCCGTGGCAAAGGTCCCTCTGGCTCAAACCTCCCTGGGACTCTGTCCAGGGAGCCCGACAAAGGGCCTCCCATCTTGGAGGCCCCTCCCCTCGGAAGGGAACACCAGTGCCCAGGAAGGGCCAGTGTGCCAAGAGAAAGAGATCCGAGTGGGGGGGCACTGACCGGCCTGCAGAGTGGTCAGCGGCTCCGACTCCTCGCTGAACTCGCTGTCCCCAATGTCATTGGTCGCCTTCACTCGGAACTTGTAGGATGTGAAGGGCTTGAGTCTATGGGGGCAATCAGGTTCAGTGAACAGAGGTATCCCCTAATGCCTCACCCCACCATCCCTGAATGGGGAAAGGGGGCCAGAGGGTGCTGATCCGTTACACAGACGGGAACGTCGAGGCTCCAAGAGAAGGTCTGCTACAGCAGACGAGCAGGGCCCAGGGGTTCCGATCCCAGCCTGGGTGTGGTCTTACCGGCAGCCCCGCTTCTAAGTCATAGGTCCCTGGGGGGCTCTGTCCTCACATCGCCTACCTCATAGGCATCAAGCTGCCATGAGAGCACTGATAACCCTCCCAGCAAACTCCTCCCATGAGAAATGCCATCTCTTTCTAGAATTTAGTAAATTTAGGAAGGGTCAGGGGTCTCAAGAGTTAATCAGAGCTTCATCTCAATAAGCCCCGTTCCTCTTCCAGGCAAACGTCTTCCTTTTTGATTTACTGGGGGCAGGGAGTGAGGAGGAAAGTCTTGCTCAAAACTCTTGGTCACGTCAACCGGAATATAAAAAATACGACCCGCTGGGAATTAAACTGAAGCCGGAAGTTCGGAGCAAGCTCCACTCCCCTATTACAGACGGAGAGGGAAATGCGGTCTGGCGGGTAGGAGTCGGTAATGAAGGCTGGCAAGCGCCTGGCTAAGGGGGCTTCCAGGCTCCAGAAATAGATAATTAAGAGGCAGCCCTAACAGGGCTCCAGAGAGCAGGGAGGGAGGTTAGGACGGAGCTGGAGGCGGGATCCTGGGAGGTGCAGGCTGTGGGAGACATCTGGGGGTGGGCAGGCTCCAGGCGTGCTCAGGACCCCCTCCCCCCCTGCCCCCCACCCCCACCCCCCAGGAACCACCCCGGTGCTGTCTGGGTGGGAAGGGCTGGAGCAGAGACGCTGGAGGACCCGGGCCTCACCTGTCCACCACGAAAGCAGAGGCGTTGTGGCTCACGGAGGCTGAGTGCAACGCCCACCTGCCACTGGGCAGCTCGCGGGTCTGGACAGTGTAATAGCGCACAGGGGACAGCCCGTCGCTTCCCGGCTCCCAGGACAGCAGCACGCTGCGGGCCTTCACGTCCTCCTGCTGTACCACCGGCTTACTGGGGGGCTGTGGGCGGTCTGGGAGTCGGCGGAGGAGGGTAGAAGCAGGTGAGTCAGCAGGAGGGGGTAGGGGGCGTGAGCTCTCCCAGGGAAGGGAAGGAGGTGCTCTGGGCTCAGGCCTGATGGCCACTGCTCTACCCCTCTCCATATGCACACAGGTCCCAACAGCCGGCACCCTGGCTCCTGGCCCATGACCTGCCCTCAGGCCGCGAGAGGCCTGGGTGCCTGGGAATTCACATCCCCTGAGGGCAGCCTGGTAAGCGAGGAGGTATGAACACCCAGCTCCTGTGCTCCCCGCCCCCCCAGAGCTGAGATGGGGCCTGCGCTGGCCCCGGTTGATGGGACCGAGCTGCCTGGGTGGGGCTCTGCTGTCGGCCCTGCCCCAGCTCGGCTTTCTTCTCACTGCCCGGGACCTCCTGCAGAGTCCTCAGCCTCAGCACTCTGGCATTTGAGGCCGATGGTTCTGGGGCCTGGAGCCGTCCCATGGACTGTAGATGCCAGTCACAGCTCCCTGTTAGGTGTGACAGTGTCTCCAGACATTGCCAACGTTCCCAGGGGGGCAACGCAGTCCCCTGTTGAGACCCTCTGTCCTACTGGTTTTTCCTGGGGACACGGTCTAATGAACCACTTTCACAGGAATCTGGGTCCCAGCCTGCTTCAGGGAAACCCGACCTCAGGAGAGGCACCAGCTCAGGGCCTCAGGCCGATGAGCCCCTCCTCCCCCCAACTGGACACCATCTTTGTTGCGGGGAGGGGAGAGGGGAAGGAAGCTGGTCTCACCAACCCTCCCTCTGCTGAGGCAGAGCGCGAGCCTTGGAAGGGGAACTCCCAGCTCAGCTTCTAGAAGTCCCCTAGAGCCCTCGCTGACCGGACATCAGAGATTTGAGCCCACTTTCCACTCCAGGTGAGGGCAATGTGGCTCTTAACTAGCTGATCCCCAGCCGCCCGCTAGGACAGGATGGGAACGCCTGGGTTGGCTGGGACTCCCCCTTGGCTGCCCCCAGGCCGCCCCAGCCCCAGTGGGCAGTCACCTCTCTTCTCAGTGGTCACCACCAAGGCCTCGGCGGCCTCCCCCCAGCCCTTGCGGGTCTGGGCAGTGATGCGGAACAGGTAGACGGACTCTGGCTTGAGGCCGGTGGCCGTGTACTGGCGGGCGCTGGGCGCGAGCACCTCCACTGTGGCCGTGTTGGCCGTGGTGGCGTTGAGCCGGTGTGTCACCTGGTAAGCTGCAGGAAGAAAGGACATGGGCTGTGTTGGGAAGCAGGGCAGCCGTCCCCAGTGCCCCGAGATGCGGTTGTTCCTTCCTTGCCACCACGATGTCTGCACCTGGGCTACCTTGGCTGTGGTTCGTCTGCGTGAAGCCCTCTCGGTCATTCTTGTGTCCTCAGCTCCCACTTGGGGAGTGTGACTGTGGGGGACACTCTATACGTAGAGTCTGACCCCCATAACAGCTTCAGGCGAGGAAACTGATGCTTGGAGAGGGCCAGACCACCTGCTAGGAAGTGACTGAGGGGAGTTCAGCCTCATGGCTTTCCGGGCACGTGCCCTTCCTGGTCTCCACGCTGCCTTCTGAGACGCAGCATTCCTCTGGGACAGGCACCGCGGGACGCCAGGCCTGAGAGCCCCGGAAGCGGCCCGGGTCGTGCAATCCATCATTCTACAGGTGCAGGGGCTGAGGCTGTGGAGGGATCCGTCCTGCTCGAGTTCACGCAGCTGCTGACTTCAACCCTGTGAGTCTTCCCCCGCCGAGGGGCTGCGCGTGTGTGTTAGGGGAGGAATCTTGACTGCGAAATGGTGCTACAGATCTGTAGTCTCCCTCCTCTGGGCCTTAGGTCGGAAATGGCTGTGCTGAGCTGGCCAGTGCTCCCTCACCTGGCCACACTTACAAATAGCAGCTGAGGTTTACCAGATGGCTGGCGTCGTGGGGTATTTGGGGGCATAAAGCTAATGAATGGTATTTAAGGAACCTGAACCTTGACCATGCCCGCCAAATGATATTTCTTTTTTTTTCCAAAAATTTTTAATGTTTATTTATTAAAAAATTTTAAATGTTTTTATCTATGTTTGAGAGAGAAAGAGAGAGAGAGACAGAGAGACAGAGTGTGAACAGGAGATGGGCAGAGAGAGAGGGAAACATAGAATCTGAAACACACTCCAGGCTCTGAGCTGTCAGCACAGAGCCTGACGTGGGGCTCAAACCCACGAACCATGAGATCATGACCTGAACTTAGGGTTAGTCAGACGCTTAACCAACTGAGCCACCCAGGCACCCCTTAACGTTTATTTATTTTTGAGAGAGAGATGGAGTACGAATGGGGGGGAGCAGAGAGAGAGAGGGGGGGAGACACAGAATCTGAAGCAGGCTCCAGGCTCTGAGCTGTCAGCACAGAGCCCAACGTGGGGCTCGAACTCACGGACTGTGAGATCATGACCGGAGCCAAAGTTGGATGCTTAACCGACTGAGCCACCCAGGCGCCCCAAAATATTTCTAATGGGAGAAATAAAACTCAAAATCCTTCTTGAGGAGACGTGGACACTTCCTGGGCCACTCTTCCTTTGGCCTCCTTTACACCTTCTGCCTCCTCCTTCGACCTGTAGCCGGGGCACAGGAGAGGGTATGGGCTTACCAAGAATGATGCCATTGGGGGCAGCGGGGGGCTGCCAGATCAGCCGCACGGATGTGGTCCTCACCTCTGGGAACAGGATGCCCATGGGCGGTCCAGGGACTGCAGGGCACAAAGGAGAAGCAGGTGACGGTGTAGCCGTCCAGCTCCAGTGGAACAGGTGGGCGGGGCCGCGGAGGAAGGGGACACTCAGCCCAATGAGCTTTTGTGGAGTATGTGGCTCGGAGTTCCGTGAAGGGACACAAAGATGCTACCGGTGAGGTTTCTACCCTGAAAACAGGCCTTATTTGGCAGAACTGGAAGGGACCAGGCTCCAGCTTCCTTTTTAGCTGTGTCCGGGTACATGTGCACATATACGGACACACAGGATTGCCCTCAAAACAGGGTCAGGGGGCCTGGTCCTGGGTCTGTGCTTCAGAAGATGCCACTCTGACTTCCGTCCACCCACGGGGAGGCGGCCGTGGGGCCCACCCTGAGCCTGAGCCTGAGCCCTCCTTTTCCGGGGTCCACACAGGCCTGTTCCCCAGGTCCGCCCTCCAGACTTGCACCTCTGGACTGAGACGTGGCCAGGGGGCAGCTGTGCGGGGCTCGTGAATGGAGACTGAATGCCACGCGGCAGGGGAGAGAACAGGAAGGGGGCAGGGCAGGGGGAGGATGGTCGCGGACAGGCAACTCTTCTCGCGCTGCCTCATTCCCACAGAGAATTCCAGAAAGTCTCAGATTTCTAAACTTGAACTTGGCCTTCCAGGTCAAGCCAGGAGGATAAGACACACTGAATTTAACAGACCATTAGGTTGATTTATAACTTTGGACTGTGTGGACATATGGTGTTGGGGCTTCCTTTTGGACTCTTGTCTAGACCCCAGCAATATTTGCGGTGGGCGGTGAGAGTCTGTGTGGGGGAGAGGGGAGGGAGCGAAGGACCCGTAGGTCAGCCTTTGACGGAAAGTTCTACTGCAGGGACCAATGCCTGGAGCCGTGGTGGCATCGGTCTTTTGCAAACAGGACCAGGAGGCTTGTGCCCAGGAAATCAAGCCTATCCCTTGCACAGATCTGTACTCAAAGTGAACCTGCCCCAGGTCAAACACTAATCAAAACGGGGGCAAAGTCTCTATTCTGCTCAAGAGACTGAATCAGATCCAAACTGTCCTCGCATCACTTCTTCCTCAGGGATGCACGGTCTGGAATTAGCACCCCCTCGCGGTGAGGTTGGTGGCCCTCAGTGACCCGCCTCCCACAGGAGAAGCCATGGTTCCTTTTGGGGCCACGTGTGACTCCCCGAGGGGCGGGGCTGGGCAGGCAGGAGGAAGGGGAGCCCCCAGCCTCTCCGGGCTTGCAGGGATTGAGCCTCACCGTCATCCAGCGTCCGCTCCAGGATGGGAGGGTGGCTGGGGCTGCCGTCCCCGATGCGTGTGAAGGCCAGCACCTGGACCTCATACAGCACGTATTTGCCCAGCCCTGTGAGCTGGGCGCTGCGCGACGAGTTCCCTTCCACCAGCCAGAAGCGGGGCTGGGAGTCCGAGTCCTTCTCCTTATACATCACCTGCCAGAGCACAGGGCAGGGGCTGAGGGCCTTGCGCCTGGGTCCTGCCCACCAGCACCTTCCCTAGGCCTCATCCCCAGGAGCGAGGCAGGTGGGAGTAGGGCTGGGGGCCTTGGGTTCCTTGGAATGGCTCGGCCCGGGAGGGTCACGGGATACGGTGAAGCTTGGGTTCTGGGAGAGCGGAGGACACAGAGACGCACTCGGCCATGGAGGTGGAAGAGTCTTTAGAGAACATTCAGGTTGGAAAACAGGCCCAGAGAGGGGCGTGACTGGGCTCCGGGCCACATAGCCAGCAGTGGCAGAGTGGGAACGTCAAGCCACGTCTCCCAACTTGTGGGCCAGGGCTGAACTGAAGTCTGCAGCTTTGGGAGCAGTTATAGAAGATAATGGGAACTGGGCCCAAGGGGCTGAGTGTGCCTGGGGCAGCCAGCGTGGCCTCTCGGGGACTCTGGGGGAGGGAGGGAGGGAGCTTCCCCAAGGACCTGAGCCTCCCTGGAAGCCTCCCAGTCCTGAGGGAGGAGTCCTTGGTTGCCATGCTGACCGGAGCACAGCCTCCGGGATTCCCCCATGTATCCACTGCAGAAGGCGGAGACCTGGGCCCCAGGGGTCATGAGGACAGGGCACCCTGGACGGGGCGTCCTGGGATCCAGGACTCACCTTGTAACCTAGCACGAGCCCATTGCGGTCGGCCTCGGGGATCTCATTCCAGCGCACCAGCATGCTGCTGGAGGTGGTGGCCAGTGCAGACACATTGGTGGGACCAGAGGATGGGACTGAGGGAGAGAAAGGGACCAGACAGGAGCTCACGACACAGTCGGCCCTACACGGGAAGGAAGTGTGGCAGGCAGCGCCCGAGTAGCCAATTATCCTGCAGTGATCCCTGTTGGTTCTGGAACATCATGGATGTTGCTTCTGGTTTCCCATTAGTCTCCCCAACGTTAGCTCAGGCCAGCGTGAGGATGAGACCCCACTTCCAGCCTGTGTAGCGGTGAAGCGTGAGGAGGGACCGGATGGGGAGGGATGTCCTTTAAAAGGTGTCAAAAATCGCCCCCCCACCCCCGCCCCAAGGGGCGAACCACATGTGGATGAATGAGGGCTGCCTGAAGGCTGGGGGTTCATAATCTGTGGGTGACCCCTTGTCTGTTTCTGGAATGTTCTGTGAGCTAATCCGACCTCCCCATCTCAGGTTCTTGCAGGCACTACCGGGTGTCAGGGTTAAAGATGAGGGCGGAGAGATGGGCACTTTGCAGGTGCAGACTGCCTGGCTCACCCACAGAGGTGGGGATTCCCCTGATCTTGGGGGCAGTGAGAAGATGCTGGGGGACACGGCAACAACAGAGACTGTTCTGCCAGGACACGGAGCACAGACAGGAAAGTGAGCCTGGGCCTATTCTGAACAACAGCTCAGCCTTTGTGCCCTTGGAAGGCCCGGAGGGCAGAGAGACAAAGGTGGGGGTATCTCTGCTGCAGGCTGCTGGGAACAGGGGTGTGGCTGGTACCTGACTCCCGGGTCCTGCCCATCACCGTCTGGCTCCAGGGCCCGCTCCCGATGGCGTTGAAGGCCTGGACCTGCACGCGGTACTCTGTCCACTCCTCCAGGTCTTCGATGGTGTACTCGCGCTCCACGCGGTCCTGGACCACGTGGCTCAGCGTCTTGCCGTGGCCGTCTGCCCGGCTGTACTTGATCTTGTAGCCTACCGACTCGGGGTTCCCGTTGTATTCCATCTCTGGGAGAGGCTGCGGGAAGGCAGGGCGGCAGAGCTGCTGAGGCCGGGTCCACCCGGGGTGGCACTCTCTGGCTTGTTCACCCTCTTTTGGGGAGCCCTGCGGGATTATCGTGCCCACCGTCCAACCTGTCGGTGCCCATGGGAGGCGCTCTCGCTGGGTGCGGCTTGGATTGTGTGAGTCTGTGTTTCTGGCGGCTCCCCCCATCTCCCCGTCTCTCTGCTCCAAGCTCTAAGGATGCACCAGCAGCCATTCTTGCGCGCATGGGAAACTTGCTACCCCGCCAAGGGAGTCGGATGGAGAGCAGACCCACACAGGCTGCCTGTCCAACACACTGATGAGCACAGCACCTCTGGCCTTGGCTGTCTTTATCACTTAACTCCCTCGCTTAGGCTGCCAACATGCACTTCTTTAATTGCCTATAACATGCCTGGTCTCAGCTCATGCCCGCCCTTGGAGAAGCCAGCGTGGGGGGACAGCATCTCGAGCGTGGATGGGACACCAGTTTCTGTCAAGTCCTTCCATCGGCAAACTTCAGTTTCTCCTGCTGCATTTTCAGCCTCCTCCTTCTGGTTTCAGTTTCAGCCAAGAGAAAAGACGGATTCCTTTCCTAAGCTGTGGGGCTGTGGCTGCTGGCTCAAGGTCATTTGGAGGAACTTGGGCGGTGTTGAGAAGCTGGGGAGGTGTCTGGGGAGGTGTGTGCAGGTTGGAGGGGGTGCACTGTGGTCTGCGGACTTGGCCTTCAGATTCTCTCTGGAGGTGGCAGAGCTGGGGGGCCCGGGTGCCCTCGGGCCCTCACCTCCCTGCCATTCTGCTTCCCCAGGGGCTCCGAAGAGCCCACGGTCCACAGGCTGCCCACATTCTGACCCACTGCCTCCCGTTCCTCGGCGTCTGCCTCACTCCCTACATTCTCACTGCCTCTTGCCAGGCCCTGCCCCTACAGACACTTAGGGAAGCCGACCAGAGACCATTAAGACAGCAATCGATGGGCCTAGAGCTCACGCTTCCTTACCTGCCAGGGAAAGGTAACGGGCCGTGCACCATTAAGAGAGTCTGGAGGTGCCTGGGGCCCCGCACGGTACAGCAATTGCCTTTTCATTCCTCCTCCAGACCCCCTGGGCATCAGACTCTATAGTCTTTTAGTGTTTGGAAACCTTAAGAAGAGCTGCAGGAGGGAG